ACCTGCACCCAGGCCTTCAGAAAGCAGCCTGAACACAGCACAGCACTTGCCATTTACTATGTCCCTTCATGTATCTGACCTAATTCTAAGCTTTTTTCTTTTTAATACTTCCAATGTTCTAACACTGTTATTAGAATTCTTTTTTTTTTTTTTTTTATGGTACCAAGGAATCAAACTCAGGACCCTGTGCCTGCAAGGCAGGCGGCGGCACCACTGAGCTAAATCCCTGGCCGAGAATTCTAATATTTTTTTAAAAGGGAAAATTCCCTTAGTTCCACTGCCCTGACAGATCATGTTTACCAATATTCCATGCTTTTTGAGCCCATGTGGCCATCGGGGGCACATTTCTGTGTTGTTTTTTTTTTTGGTACCAGAGATCGAACTCAGGTCCTTGTGCTTGCGCAGCAGGCGTCAAAACCACTGAGCTAAATCCCCGGCCCTGGGGGTGCATTTCTGATAGTAATAATCATAGTTGTTACTCTTTTGAATATGTTTACATAAGTTTTTTTTTAAATTGCTTCATAGTTCACATAAGCAAAAATAATTTCAAGTGCCAGTTCCATGTTTACTAGCCCCTTTATATTGTCTCTACTCTTTTACGTAGCCATTAAGTAGGCATTATATATCCATTTGTGGTTGATTCTGAGGTTTTTGCTACATGATTCTCTAATTGACTTCTTTGTGCCCATAGCTTTTTCCTTTGTTGTGGGGAGGTTATTTGAACAAGGATACAAATGCCAGTTTTCCCAAACTGTACTCGATGTGGTAAAGAAGAGAACTAACATCACACACCTGCTCTGTTCCAGGCTGAGGGCTGGTGCTTTATAACCATATTGTTTCATTTATTCCTTAAAGCAGCTCTGTGGTCTCCATTTGCAATAGAGAAAACTGCATCTAGAAATTTAATTGATTGACCTGCTGTTAGATAGCTAAGATTTAAATGTAAGTCTTTTTCTGAGTGCACTTGTGCACTTTCTCCCATGCTGCACTGTGAAGTACCATCTACGGCCCCGCATACCAATGTCCACACAGCAGTAAGGACAAGGGCCTTGGAATCCAGCACTTCTGAGTATGTATCCTGCTTGTCCTCCTGACTCTGCGTGACCTTTGGCAAGTCACTTAAGCTTTTAAAATGTGGTTATTTATCATATATAGGTTGCAAAGAGTAACTGAGAATGAACAGTGTAAAGCCTTTAACACGATATTATCTCTGTCAGTTCTGAGCTCTGAGGCATTTGCTTACATAAACCAGGTTATATAGGTCAGGTTCCCTGTTGGGTTGGGGGGCAAGCCTCTAGAACACAGTGCTTTCTAAATTTATCCGTAAAGTCCAGGCACCTGGAACTCTTGTTAAAACTCTTAAGAGATTTCAGGCCTCTCCACAGACAATCTGATTAATTAGAACTGAAGTGAGACCTGAGGAATGTGTGTTTACCAAGCACGCCAGGAGATTGATCAGACAGATTTGAAAAACTCAACCTTTGGAGGCAGATTCTGATGAGAAGAGAACGGCAGTGAGTCACCTTCCTGAGACTCACCACAAATCTGTGTTCATCTGAGAGCCTCTCCTTGGAGAGAACACCTAGGATGGGGTTCTCAGAGCTGTGCTCCTTAGCTGGGGGTTCCTGTGCTGCCCTTAGAAATAGAAAGGAGGCCTGGGTCCCTGTCCTGCACTTCAGTCAGAGCAGCCCCATTCAGATCCATTAGCTTGTGTTTCTGTTGCTTTCAATTAGTGAGAAGGGTTTGGCCAACTTTAAAATTACCCTGTGTATAAAAGTAACCAGTGTGTGGGGCTGGGAGTGGACAGGCACACCCAGCACCACAGCTGGGCTGATGAAGGGCCACATCTGAGTCACCTGGACACCAAGTGTCCATCCAGAACATGTGTTGGATTTAGGTCATTGATGAACAGACCAGTCAGTGGTGCCCCCAGGCCCTTTGATTTAGTAATTCCACTCTGAGGAGTGTGTTCCAAGGAAGTAATCTTAAAGGAAAAAAACAAAATTTGCAAGCATGGGACATGCCATAATCATTATATTAATAATTACATTAATAATATAGTAATGTTCATAGTAGCTAACATGATTGAAACTAATAATGCTTCTTTCCTGGCACCATTAAAAATATTTGATATGGCTTTTTTTTTTCTTTCTGGTGCTAAGTATCAAACCCAGGGACCCATGCACATTAGACAAGCACTCTACCACCAAGAGATTAATAGGTGATTAACTCATTTAAACTTTGGGCTGGGGATTTAGCTCAGTGGTTCCACTGCCTGTCCTGCAAGCACAAGGACCCAAGTTTAATCTCTGGTATCGAAAAAAAAGTGCTTAAACTTTAAAATAGCCCTGTGAAGGTGGACCTGTTCATACCTACATTTCATAATGATGAAACTGAGCCTAGAAAGAAGTGAAGCCATCCACTGTATTCAAGATGACAGAGAGGAAGAGGCAGACCTGGAGTTCTAACTCCGTAGCCCACGCTTTTGGCCTCTGTGCAGGCTTCCCCTTGTGCCTGGAGCAAGGGAATTGCTGACAGCTGGACCATTGCCCCTCAGGGATGCCCCAGAGCTGTGAATACAACTGCAGGTGTGAGTGACCTTGCAGGTGTGTTGTGTCAACATGAGGGGTTGGTTCAGGGCGCTCACCTGGAGGGAGCCTTCTTCTCAGCTCAGTTCTGGGGTCTCCCTCCTTAGGGCCCTCATCTGTATTCCTCACAGACTTACTTTATTCCATCGTCTTGGCATAGCTCTTGCTCTTTCTTGCCTGGAATACCTTCTCCTCTTTCTTTTTTTTTTTTAAGACAAGAACTTGTGTGTTTTTGGGAGTTTTTTGGTACCGGGGATCGAACTGGGTTCCTTGTGCTTGCGAGGCAGGCAGTGGAACCACTGAGCTAAATCCCCGGCACCTTCTCCTCTTTCTACTGATCCAAATATCAGTGACCCATAAAACTCCCCCTTGAATACTCCTTTTTAGGAAGCTAAGTCTTGATGATAATAATTCTTGACAGCAACCAGTTTTACCAGCAAGAAAATTGAGGCTTAGGGAGGTTGTGATGTGCCCCTGATAGAATCAGTAGGCCCTGCAGTGCCCAGCAGAAGAGCTATTCTGTATCTTTAGCATCTAGAAGAATGTTGGCACAGAGTTGGTGCTTGATACAAGTATCTGTTAGTCAGGTGCATTGGCACACACCTGTAATCCCAGGTACTCGGGAGGCTGAGGCAGGAGTATTGCAAGTTCAAAGCCAGTCTGAGCAATTGAGCAAGACCCTATCTTAAAAAATTAACAAGGCTGGGGATATATATATAGCTCAGTGGAAAAGCACTGGGCTCAGTCCGCATTAAAAAAAAAAATTTGTTAAATTTTAAAAATCATTTTTGTTGTTGCTTGCAAGAGCTGGATGTGGTCGATGAGAGGACCTGGCTGTACAGTCAGGACAGATTTGAGCTGCATTTTAGAAATTGTGCCTCGCCAATGGCCAGCTACTTCTGTAGGCTATGTATGCTGTCTCCATTTGCAAAGGCAGAGGCTTGGATTAGCTGACCTTAATAATTAGGCCATCTTTGAGGTTGTTCCAGGCATCCTGTGAATCTGGAATTAATCTGTAGTTCTTGTTTGAAATTCTTCCTAGTTTTGGTCTCTGCCTCCTTTACCTCTATATTTTCTTTTGTTTCTATAGTGAGCCAACAAAGGGTTAAAGTTTTTTGTCTACTTTACACATTGCTCACTAGTAGAAATGTGACCAACTCGTGCCAGTTTTTATCTGAACTAATGAAAGTAGACCTCTGTGACTGCTTGTTTATCAACACCAATAAATGCTTAATGCAGTTTCACCAAGGATCCTGGTGAGGAAATCAAGAGCGGGTTCACACCAGCCATGTCGACACACATCTATAGTCCTAGCATTCTGGGAGGCTGAGGCAGGAGTTTACAGTAGCTAGAGATAGAAGTAATAATGATCACTTTCCTAACAGTATGATGTCAAACTTGAGCAGTTGCTCCAAAGGAAAATGCTGGGACCAAAGAATGGGAGCATTGACATGAGGGGAAGAAAAAAGGCTCCAGGCGAGGGATCTGAGAGAAGGTAGCCATGTGGCATACAAAAGAGAAGGTTTGGGGCTGGGAATGTAGCTCAGTGGTATAGTGTTTGCCTGGCACTTAAGAGGCCCTGGGTTTGATCCCCAGCACCATGCACACACAAAGCAAAGGTCAGGTGGTCTAATCACCCAGACCTTTCCAAGCCTACCAGTTTCAAGACTGGTAGGCTTCTTACAGTCAAGGCCCAAAAGTGAGTTAAAGGGAGGTTTCTGGCTGGGCAACAGGACCCCATCTGGCCTCTGGTCCTGACCCTTAGCAGATAGGCTCTGTGTTAGCAGTGCCCTTGCAGGTTTAAGGAATAGTTACATCCCCTCAAGTTATTTGGAGTGGATTTATTTTGTGGGTGAAATTAATAACAAGCTAACATTTATTATGTAAATGAATTAATTCCTCACAGCCTCCTTGCTAGGACAGTGGAAGCTAGAGAGGTTAAGTCACTTGCCTAAGGCCACATAACTCTAGAGGGGTAAAGCCAGAGAGCAAGCCCAGGTCCTAAAAGTTCAGAGTCTCTATTTAGATTAGAGCAGATGCTGCTCATACTGGCTGTAATCAAGAAAGTATAGCTCTACAGCAAGGCCTTGTGGGGTTCTCATGGACATATTGTTACCACCCAGGACCCAACAGTAGCCCTGGTGGCCTAGTCATCTTGCCCCTTAAAGGCAGGTGACCACAACCCATACTTGTGACTTCACTTGGCTTAAAAACAATCTCTGTGAACCAGGTGTAGTGGCACATCCCTATAACCCCAGCACTCAGCAAGCTGAGGCAGAAGGATCATGAGTTCAAGACCAGCCTGAATAATATAGCAAGATCCTATCTCAAAAAAATTTAAAAAAAGAAAAAAGTTTCTGTGACTCAGCTCCTTCTTTTCTCCCTATATCCTCCTTTTCTGCCCCTTTTTATTTTGGTGCCAAAAGAAGACAAGGTGAGGCCAGTTTCTTGCCACCCATTGGGTAGGCCTGAGGATGACCACCTTTGGCTAGTCTCTGAGCTGGCCACTTCAGGGCCAGATGAACAGAGTCCTGAGCATCTCATCCTGAGAATGATTCTAAAGCCCAGAGACAAGTGTGGTTGTACCACACAGCCCCCAAATGAAAGCCAAGCACTTCGTGGAAAACTAAAACAGCAGTCTGCTCCAAGGCCCTAAGTGTAGACAATCCTCACTTATAAGTGAGGAGTCACTTGTGCCACATTCTTCAGACTGAGTGTCAACTGACGAGCTCCGGGGATCTCATGGATGGAGCCTTCTGCTGATAGGTATGGCCAATTTACGGGCACCTGATGACCCAGCTCTAGCCTGAACTGGTTCAAGTTGAGCCACATTCCTCACCTGCTTGACAGTAGACACCATCCAGTGAGTGAGGTTCTTTCAGTATTTCAGTCCTCAAATCAGAAGATTTGATGTACAATGATGCCCATTGCCCAGCTAATTCTACTAGTAAAATCCTAGCCTAAGTACCTAGCAGTAGGGGGGTGGTGAATCTTGTGTTAATTTTGGATAGAGATAAATAGGTAGGCAGGTACACCAATAACAGGGCAGTTTATCTCTGAAGATTGAGTACAGGGCTAAGCATACTCTACCACTAAGCTATGTCCCCAGCCCCTTAGTGGGCTTTTTGAAAGAGGTAGTGATGCTGCTTACAAAGGACACTATTGTGGGTTAATTGGAGGGGAAAGACATCATGTTGGCATACCATGTGTTTATAACTGGTCTGGAACTTCCCTCAGGTTCTGGCACCAGCTGACCTTTTTTTCTTCTCCCCCTTCAGTCTTTACAAGTTGATAAGTGCCATCTCCTGGCTCCAGTTCTAAGCATTATGAAGGAGCATCTCTCCTTCTGCTGCTGGAAATCAGTCAGGCAGTGTGCCCTTGGCAGTGGAGCCCAGGCTTGTATTTGAATCCTGGCCCTGCTGCTGAAGGCAGGTCACGCTACCACTTGGGTCCTGTTGCCATCGGCAGAAAGTACAGGCATAGCACGGATGTACTTAAGTGCTCATCACTGTGATTGTTACTCACCAGTCCAATACCCTAGAAGTGGCGGGGGGCCCAGTAGCTTGGCAGAAAGGTGCTCCAGCTTCCTGCCCAGTCTCTGTCTACTCTTTCCTCAGGTATTCCCATCAAGAGTACCATGGACAATCCCACCACCACACAGTATGCCAACCTCATGCACAACTTCATCTTGAAGGCACGGAGCACCGTGCGTGAAATTGACCCCCAGAATGACCTCACTTTCCTCCGAATTCGCTCCAAGAAAAATGAAATAATGGTTGCACCAGGTAAGGGGTCTATTTCACCTGTCCACTTAGAAGCAGACCCTCATGGCCTGTCAGGTGTGTCTGGCACATTGGTTTCAGAGGCTCAGCGAGGGGCCTGAGGAATTGAAAGAGTCCAGTTGCCTCACTGCCTAGCTAGCAGCACCCAACAAATCTTCACGGCTACTGCAGGCCTCAGAGGGGAGTCATGATCTTCTGGGGAAGAAAAGACACAAATATAACACGGATCCCCCTTTCCTTGATACGGGAAATTCAAAGGCACATCTGGGACATAGAGAAGGGTGTAATCGGATCCACCTGGTTTCCCAAAAGAGGAGAGCTTGGAGCTCTTGAGGGCCCAGAAAGCATGTGAAGTGGAAGGGTGGGAAAGCTATGTTTGGAGGGAAACAAATTCAGTGATTCTCAGCCAGAACATAACAGTTCTGTCTCCAAGGTCCATGAAGCCAGCCTTTCCTCCAGTCCTGGAGCAGACTGCTGTTTTAGTTTCCCACAAAGTGCTTGGCTTGCATTTGGGTGCTGTGTGGTGCAACCACACTGGTCTTTGGGCTTTAGGATCATTCTCAGGTTGATGAGATGCTTATCCTGGGAGAAGATGACAGGAGAGACCCACAGAGCCACCTCTCCTGCTCTGCCTTGCCTCACTTTCTCAGGCTGCAGTGGCGGACAGATTGGCCAGGATTATCCACTGTTCTTCACATTGTTACTTCTCTCTTGTTCTGTTTTTGGCTGGGCCATATTGAATGTGCATGATTAAGTTTGCCTGCCCTTGATGGTGTACTTAGGTTGCAGTACAGCTTGCCTAGGCTTATCAGAAGCTACATAGGAAGGTGTGGAAGGTGAGCCTTTGGCCCAACTTTGGCCTCAAACATCAAACTCGGTGTGGACTTGCTGCTATTGAGTGGAGGTGTTTAGAGCAGGAGCAGAAATGATTGTGAATGGAGCTGGATGACAGAGTGCATTGGGGAGGCTGGAGACATGCACGCCTCTGTGCTTGGTGAGGAGGACAGCTACAGAATTCGGGGGGACTGTTGGGCAAGGCCTCTCCCCGAAGCAGACCAGTACTGGTTCTATTCCCAGGCCTGCTACAGCCCAGTCTGGCTGCCTAGAAGAGTGGAAAGGAAAACCATAGAGCGAGTCACAGGGTCCCCCAGTCTCCCTGTGTCACTCCCTAGAGGGTGGGAACACATCAGTCACAGAGAAGAACATAAGCATGACATCAGAGGCATTTATTCCAAAAACAGGCCATGAACATTTAGTGTGTCTCAGCCATCTGCTGCCTGATTCTGTTGGGTGGCCCAGAATCTGTTTTCATAGCTACACACCTTACAACTTGACCTTGGGCAAGTCACGGGCCATCCCCATAACCACACCTGTAAGACAAGTAGTCCACTGTGCTGGGACTCCTTGTCTGGATGAGTGCGATCCCTCAGACTGGGCAAATAGCCTTGGAATCAAATTTGAACTGAAATTCCCCGAGATGTCATGCTGTGTGACTAAGGAGAACAGATTTCCCACATCCCTAAAAAGGGCTGGCATGATCCCTCCATTCACACTGCAGGTCAGATCAGGCCTGGCCTCCCCAGTGGCACACCGAGGGGCTCAGAGTGTGAGGCAAGGACAAACAATGTGAGTGCCACATAGACGTTCTCTCCGTGGACACTCTCTCGACCCACAGCCACCAGATATCTCCTCGAAGGCAAAGTTGTCTGAAAGCTACATGCCACAGCTCTGGAGCAAGGGCACTGCCAGCTTGACCTTGAGAACCAGTGGGCATTCAGAGCCTTGGAGAATGGTCCCCGGGGAGGGGTCCTCAGGCCCCAAGTCCACACAGCCTTGTCAGTGGAGGCGAGGATAAGTGACCAGACTCTTGCCTGGGCCGCACACAGAACCCTGCAGGAAGTGCATGTGCTCTCTCACGCAGCCTCCCTCACAGCCGTGCACACACACTTCCTATGCTGGAGGGTGTCTTACACTTTGAGGTCACCTCAAACATAGTTGTTTCTGTGCATCACCACACTGCTGCAGCCTCACTGCTGCCTCAGCCTGCAGCCCTCCCCCATCCTGCTGCTGAAACACCTGACCAACTGTATTTCTTTCTTTTTTTTTGTGACAGCCCATTTTATATTTTTTAATTTTGAGACAAGGTAAGTTGTCCAGCTACACTTGAACTTTCTATCCTTCTGCTTCACCCTTCCAGGCTATGAACATAGGTGTGCACTACCATACCCAGCTCTTTACTAATCCTGTCTTCTCCAGAAGACAGCTAAGTTCCATAAGTGCAGGGACTTGTAAACACATTAGTAAGCATTTAGCAAGTAAATAAATGAAAGGCTTCCTAATCCTCCTCCACTGCTGACATCCTACTGCTGTGGGGCAGGGGTGGGGCAGGGTACGGTGATTTTGACCCTGTGACACACCCACTTTATTTTGGCCTAGAAAAAAACACTGGGTTTTGGTGCCAGAACTCCTGTGGCAGGAGCCACTGATGAGTCTCAGAATGTTAGGGCTGGTGAGAGCAGCCTCAGTGCTGTGTGTTGGAGCCCGTGCTCTCGGGACTATGAGCAGCCGGGAACAGCCTTTCCTGCCCACCTGGTTGGACTCCTTGACCAAGCTAGGAAGCTGCTTCTCCACCCAACAACAGCAGCCGGTGCTTTCGGAAGTTTGTCTGTCCACTGTCCAAATATGTATCATATTTCACCCTGTCTTGGCCCAGAACAGCCCACACAAAGAGACATTTTAAGACAGACTTAGTTTCCAGTTTCCACCTACTAATCTGACCGATACAAAGCTGAGTTGACTCGGCATAGGCAGCCTTTAGAATGCTACCTCCCAAAGAACACTTGATTTGGCCGTACAGGATGTAGAACCTGATAGTTTGGAATAAAAGACACTGCTGTTATTGCTTGTGTCCTTGTGTCTGTTTTTATCAATGGCTTTTTATTTATTTTATTGTGGCGGGGTAGGATTTTGTGGTTTGGTTTTTTTCTTTGAGACAAGGTCTCGCTATGTAGTTCATGGTGGCCTTGAACTCATTACATAGCCAGACCTTAGAACTCCAGTCACTGTTACCTTTCCTTTATATCCTTTCAGAAATATTTCTGGTTTATACCATTTTATAGGGATGTCTTTTTTTTTTCTTTTTTTTTTTTTGAGACAGGGTCATGCTATATAGTTGAGGTTGGCCTTGAACTCACTGTGTAGCCCAGGCTGACCTCAAACTTGAAATTCTGCCTCAGTCTCCCAAGTGGTGAGATTACAGGGGTGCGCTACCATGACCTGCAGTTATTTGTTTTTAATGGTGATTTTGTTTATGTGTGCAGATCGCTTAACCATAATGCTATTATTCACTTAATTTCTGTTTCTTCTCGGTTGCAACAGACCACCATCATGGCAAGAACCAAGCTGTGGACTTTGAGCAGCCACAATGCAGATGTGGCTGAGGTCCTGACATTTCTCTCATGCTCAGCAGGGGGCAGCAGACCAGAGGGGTTCAGATCAAGCTGCCATGTACCCACCCTTCCTAGCCCATATATTTGCCTCAACTTGGGCAAGTCACTTAACTGAGCCTCAGTGTTCTCAGTAAAATGGGAAAACACTAGCACCTACCTAGAATAATTCAAGGGTTCACTGAGGAGCCATGGGAAAAGTGGTTGATCCAGGCCTGGGCACATGAAAACCTTGATAAATGTTTATAGTTTGATTATTAAGCCAGGCATGGTAGCGCACACCCATAGTCCAAGAACTTGGGAGGCTGAAGCAGGAGAATCACTGGGAATTCAAAGCCAGTTTGGGCTAATAGTGAATGCATGGCCAGCCTGAAACTATATAGCAAGACTCTCTCAAAAAAAAAAAACAGTTTGATTATTAAGTGGGCAAAGTTGAAATCCTATGTTTCCAGTTTCCTTTCCTATAAACTGAGGGGTAGTCTGGCCCACTTCTGAGGACCGGGACTTAGTGTGATTTCATAGTGGGCTGGATCTCTGGTGCTTCTGAAATTTTCTTGCCCAGAAGGCTCTTAAAGCCCAACAACTGAGCTTGTGACAGAAACTGACATTAACTCAAAACCAGTGAGGTTGAACCTGAGTATCCCTATCCAGGAAAGAGATGAGAACCCTCCCTTCCTGATGCTGCTGTCATGAGGATTAGAAAAGAGCAGCAATGGATTCCCAAAAGAAAAGTCTTGCTGTCTTAGACCCTTAAGAAAAAACAGATTTTGCAGAGCTGAACATCAAGTGCCTGAGAAAGATATTTGCCATGAGAAAGCTAAGCACTGTCACAAGGAATAGAGGCAGATTGCAGGAACAGCTGGCAGCATCTGTCATCAGGAACAGAGGTATCCATGGTGTGAGCCTGAATGTCTGCAGGGTTTCAGCTTCTGTGCCCTAGCCAGATCTTCATTGGCACCCTTGTGAAACTCAGTAAGGCTTCGATTACATGCTGGTACTGTCAGACCATATATTGCACGGGGTGCCCAAACCTGAAGTCAGTAAGTGAACTTGAGGCTGGGGGTAGTTCAGGGGTGGGGTGCTTTCCTAGCATGTACAAGGACCTGGTTTCCACCCCTAACAACAAATCTACAAGGCATGCTTATGGCACAATCATTAAGCAAATTGCCAAGCATGGTTAAACACACATGTAATCCTAGCATTAAGGAGACTGAGGCAGGAGGATCGTTGGAACTTTGAGGTCAGCGTGTGCCACATAGTGAGATCCTGTCTAAAAACACAGTAGTAGTAATTTGTCTTGACATATAACACCTTGCCCCTTGATAAATAAGGGATCATCTGTATGGAGGATCTAATTCATGAAATCTATACTGTCGGAAAACACTTCCAGGAAGCAAATAACTTCCTATAACCCTTCAAATTGTCTTCACTAGTGGAGTGAAGAAAAAGATCACTTGTTTTGTAGACGGTAGAAAGGCTGACAACAAGAAAGACCAGATCAACAGTCCTCTTAGAGTGAACTAAGCCATCTACCATGGTAGTTTTGTGATCTGGTTGGTTAATCAGCAGTGGGTGCTGTCAGATTGAGACAGAAGAGCGACCCCTGCGAGGTGCCTGCTCCCCAACAGAGTGCTGTGCAGGCACGAGCCCCACAGGAAACCCAAAAGTTTATCTTCTGTTTCTCAGGGGTGGGAAGTAGCCTGAGCATTGATGGTTTTTATTGTCTTTCCTCCCATTCTATAGCTAAGTGATTTAAGGAGTTGCTGCATTTTTCTCCCATTTTACATCTAGTGACATGTATTTTCATTTTTCTCTTTTGCAGATAAAGACTATTTCCTGATCGTGATTCAGAATCCAACTGAATAAGCCACCTCTTGGCTCTGTTTGTCATTCCTTAATTTAATGCCCCCCAAGAATAATAGCGTTAATCATGTCAGCCAACTGGCTCAGAGATCACCTTAAGAGCCCTGCAAACCACTCTGGGACCAGAGTGGCCCAGCAGCTCCGCCCTCCCCACCAGAGGATCCTGAGTCTTCCTGGCAGGGCGCCTTCCTTGCTGCCAGGTTGTGGAGCAGGAGCTGCTGAGAAGCCCACACCCAGCTTCCTTCTGACCTTCGGTTCACTTTGTTGCCCTTGGAAAAAGCTGTTTTTCTTTTAACTAAAAATAACCAGAATGCTTACCCTGCTGGTCTGTCTCTAAACACTAGGTTGGAAAGGCCTCTCTTCCCGTGTCACCACATGGTCTGAAAACCAGACCCACAGCCTCCAGGCAGAAATCTCTTCCTGGCCCCTAGGCCTGGCCCTCCTTACGGCTGTGGCCGCACTTCCTGAATGGCATGTGATTGCTGCCTCGGCTTCTGGGCCTCATCCCTAGCCACTTTTGTCGTTTCCACACCTGCCACCTGCTAGTGCTTTGTGAGCTTTTCTCCACTACACCCACTGGGGAAGGAAGAGAAGTTCCTGATGGGTACCCGGAGTGTCAGATGCAGTGTGTGTCACTTAAGTCCCCTCAGAGCACTTGGGGTCTAGGGACCCAAGGCCCACAGCCCAGAACATAGGTCTGCGCCTCCCTGCCCTTTCTGCGCCTCCTAACCCGGACTGGCTTCAAACTGCTCCCCCTCAGCCTGGGCCAGCCACCAGCCTCGCCTCTGCAGGGCACAGCCGCAGATGTGCTGTCGGTGAATGGCCCTCGATGCAGCCTCGTGCACAGGGTCCTCTCCCCAGAGGTTCGCAGCTGCACTGGTTTCTGATTCAGTTTTTTGCCTTGTTCCTTGTTACACAGTGGAGAGATGGGGGCTGTATAGTGGGAACTCCCAGTGCTGGTCAGTCATACACTCAGTTGAGGAAAATAACACAAGGACAAAATGTGCTCAGAACAGTAGTCCTGCTGTTATTTGTGATCAGGCCCAATTAGGTCAAAGGCAACTTTATTTTGGGCTCCCACTGTCTACGCTAGGCCTGTTCCATTCCTGTCCCGGGTAGAATGTAATGCCATGGGCCAGGCCTGGACAGGCAGCACTTTTTCATTGTAGTACTGGGGATTGAACCCAGGGCCTTGCTGGTGAGCTACATCCTCAGCACACTTGAGACAGGGTCTCGCTAAATCACTCAGACTGGGCTCGATCTTGTGATCCTCAGGCCTCAGCATCCCAGAGTGCTAAGATCAGGAGTACACTGGTCCTGACTAGGAGCAACACCATGGAGCTGCATTTGGAGACCTGCTGCTCCCTCCCTGCCCAGGCCCGCTGCCCACCGACCACCGCTGCAGGCCATAGCAGCAGGTGTTTGATCTTGGGCTGTCGCCGCCTGTTCCTTGTTGCTAAGAGGTAGATGAGATGGGAGAAGAGAGTTTAGTTTAGTTGACACTCAACTGGTGGCTTCTGGCTTGTGCATCTGCTGCATCTTCCAGGAGTTTTCAAAGACTTCCTCTCAGACTCCCACCTGCCCTGCCCTCACTCTGGCCAAGGCACTCTCTCCACTGGCCCCAGAGGCTCCTCTGCCCCACTCCCTCTGGATTCGATGATTCAAGGTAAAGCCCAGTGAGGCCCACCGGAGGTAGCCTCTGAGTCCTCTGCCTTCCACCTCCTTTAGGCCACACCCAGGCAGGTGTGAGTCTGCCTGACTATAGTCCCACCTTGGTTTCCTTGAATGTGGCCAAGGCACTAGGTTTGGTGTCCCAGGAGAAACAAAGGTGGAGCTAAGTCTAGTATCATTCACAAGAAACATATTCATGATTTTTCCCAAAGGAAAGGTGAAATAGGGAATTCATAGTATCTATTTAATTTTCTTGAGATTTTCATATATATTTAGGGAAAACTGAAACAAAGCAGATTGCCTTTGCTTGTTTTGTTCTGTTTTTGCGATACCAGGTAGGACCTGCGCTTGCAAGGCAGGTGCGGGAACCACTGAGCTAAATCCCAGCCTGGCCTTATTCTTTTTTATCGTGCTAGAGACTGAACCCAGGAAGTGTATCCCTAGCTCAGTTGGTTTTTTGAAGCAGCACCTTGCTAAATTATTCATGCTGGCTCCAAACTTGCAATCTTCCTGCCTCAGCCTCATGAATAGCTGGGAATTACAGGCATGTGCCACTGTGCCCTACCCTTGTTCTTTACAATAATCTTCCTTTACAAAACAGTGCTTTATTAGGTTATTCATTGAACAGTTATTTAGTGAATGCCTACCATGTGCCAGGCCTACTATAGACATAAAGGACGTAATGACAAGAGTATGTTCTAGAGGACACGAAGCAGTCAACTCAAAAGCAAAACTATGCTTGAGTCTCACACCAGACCAGTTAATCATAATCCTTGACAGTATACCCTGTTCATTTTTGGGGGGGGCACCAGTGAGACAGGGTCTTGCTATGTAGCCCAAGCTGGCCTCTAATTCTGGGTGATCCTGCCTCCCAAGGACTGGGCTTACAGGTGCACACCACGTCCAAAAGAAGAAAACATTTACAACCTAGAGTTCTCTGCTCAGCCATACTGCTAGTGTAAGATAAATATTCCAGACTTAGGGCTGCATGTATTCACGAACCCTTTCTCAGGAAGCAGCTGGAGTACATGGTTATCAAAACAAGGGAGTGAAACAAAGGAGTGAGATACAGGGTCCAGGCAGCCACAGACTCAAAACATGAGAGGAAGGGCCAGGGATTTAGCTCAGTGGTTCTGCCGCTTGCCTTGCAAGCACAAGGACCCGAGTTCGATCCCCGGTACAAAAAAAAAACACAGGAAAGGAAGACCTAAGGACTACGAAGAGCACTGGGCACCCTCAAGCACTTCACTTTTGGTTCTGCCAGAGATTTAAGGATAATTTAGTATTGGCACATGGAAAACAAGAAGAAACAGACCAAAACTGCAGAAAATATAAATTATACAATAAAAAACAAACACGAGCTGGGGATGTGGCCCCAGCCCTGTTGGCAACAGCCTGAACACACACACACACACACACACACACACACACACACACACACACACAGAGAGAGAGAGCAAGCAAGTCCTGAGCTGCTTATGTGGCCCTGCTGTGAGCTGCTAGCAGCCAGGTGAACAGCATGCTGTGCAAATCCTGCTGTGCTGGAGCTATGCTGCTCAGAGTTGGGAGGGCAACGATCAGAAGAACGGCTGTAACTATTCCAACACCTATTTGATTTTTGTTTTGTTTTGGTTTGGTTTTTGAAACTACAAGTATTTGGGTAAAAATAAATTTTATAAATTTGCAAACACCTAACAGTAGCTTAGAATGTGATTAGCCAGTGGCTCCCAGCACTTTGCCGATGAAGTAACTGACAGATGAGGAGAGCGATCCAGAACTCCAGGGGCCTCTGTAGGAGTGAGGGAGGGAGCCCCCTGCAAGCACAGAGACCTTCGGAGCTCCACCACCTGAGATGTGCGTGTATTCTGCGTTGGCTCTGTGGGTAGCACAGGGCTCAGTGGACTCGGGAGCCCAGTCAGCCAGTGAGAATGATGGCAGTTTATGGGGCTTCGTAGGGACGGGCCAAGGCACTGGGGGAGGGAGCATCAGGACTCGCTGGCGTTGAGTGTGGGGATGGGGAATGAAACCTCAGGGAGACTCCTAAGTGCTTGTTGGCAACCAGTGCTGCCTGGGGATCAGAAGGGGACGGGTCTGCGTCATTTGAGCCCATTAGAGCACAGTGCCTGATGGGATGAGCAGTTGCTGAGCATAGTACCATCCCACCAGGCCACACTACGGCCTGTGGTTGGTACTGAAAGCCAAGGTGCCTCAGAGGAATTCAGAATGAAAGAAAGAAGCAGCAGAGCAGAAAAGCTGTCTGAAGGCATCTCCCAGGACACTTCAACTTTTAGCTGCACCCTGGAAAGTGGGGGCACAGAGCTGCTTCAACAAGGGTGTGGTTCAGCTGCAGAAAACTCAAAATGTCTGATCCGCAGATCCAGGATCCAGGGTTCTCCCCACTTTCAGTTCCACCCAGTCCTGATTCAGAAGAGCTGCTGCAGCAGCAGGTATCATTCAAATCCCAGGCAGCTGAGGAGGCTAGGGGCAGAGAAGGATGTCCTCTTTCACCACACTTTCCGCTGATGTTTTACTGACTGAAGTTTAATCACCTTGCTGCTCCTGACTGTGGAAGCTGAGAAACTAAGTCCTGTAGCTGGGTGTGCGGCTGTGTTGAGAAGCAGGAAAGATGAGGACAAGGGTGGACTGACTTGGCGATCTGGACGGGGACACCATGGGGGTACGGTCACCTGGGCTGGGTTCAGTGTGTCTAGACAGGAGGTGAAACAGCTGCAGACGTCACCAAGGGGAAGCGAGTTGCCTGCTGGCAGGAGCCACTGAGTGAGCGGCCTCTCAGAGCAAAGCGCATGAGAAAGGCATGAGCCCAGGGCCTGTGAAGGGCTGCTGGGGACAGGGACCATGATGACTGAGCACAGGGAGCAGCATGAGGGCCGGGCAAGGCCTCCTCTCACCATGAGAGCATCTGGAAGCAGTGCTAGAGGCAGGAGGAGAGGAAGGAGCAGGAGGAGACTGGCCCAGACTTGCAGAGAGCTCGCCTTGTCCACCATCTTCGTCTTTTCAGCCAGGGCTGTGGCTGTCAAATAAACCTGGCCTGGAGTTTTTCCCCATTGCTTCAGCAGAAGAGGGTTCAGGTTCAGGGCCTTTAGGAGAGGTTCTCATGATGTCTGTGGGACCTGAGCTGGGCACGGAAACAAGTGGAGAATAGCTAGGGGTTCGTGCCCCTGCCAGACGAGTACCTGGCGGAGTGTGGGCCAGGGGGAGGTGAGGGGTTTTCTGCGGCGGCTGCTTTGTTCCACCCCAGAGGGGCCACAGTGGAGGGGGTGAGAGGATTCACATGGGCTAGAGAGGTCTTGGGATGGAAAGGATCCAAGAGTGACTTGTGGGCAACAGGGACGGGGAGTCACAGTCCAGCAGAGGCCACGTCAGGCTGGGTCAGGATGGGGCAGGTGGGGATCCGCTGAAGGCACAAGTCTTCCTCGATGTGTTAAGTGTGAGGACTCTCAACCTCTGAGGTGAACTTTGTTCAAGAGGCAGAAGCCAGGCACGTGTGCACCTATAATCCCCGATGCTTGGGACGCTGATGCAGGAAGACAGGGAGAGTTCAAGAGCAGTCTGGGCAACTTCTCCAGACCCTGTCTCAAAAGGACTGGGGATGGGCTGGGGATTTAGCTCAGTGGTTCCCCCGCTT